GTACATGTGGAGATCGAGTGGACTGATGGTACGCCGGAAGGGAGTTCGGTATCGCACCATTCGGCTTGGAAGCGCAGCGTATCCAATCATCCCTCCAGTTGGATAACGAAAAGCACATCATCGTTGGACAGGGATACCGATTCCAGTCCCCAACCCCGCTGATAGCCGACATGAGTGGGTGGTGCGGTTCGACAAAGAGGACTTCATCGGAAGGCCTGGGTTGAGTCGTATCGCCGAGCAGGGCATGAGCAACAAGCTGGTAGGGTTTGTCATGCTCGACGGTAAGACACCTGAGGAAGGAGTGCCGGTGGTGACTGGCGCCAAGCCCATCGGCCGGGTCACCAGTGCCCGTTTCAGCCCGACCATGGGCAAGGGATTCGGGTTGGCTTGGGTGCCGGTTGAGTTGGCCCAGGATGGCGCGGAGATTCACATCATCATGCCGTGCAACTCCCATGCCGGCGTTCATAGTGCCCATGCAGCCTTTCTACGACCCCGATGGCGCACGGGTTGACGGCTAGGCTATGTACTGAATGGAGCCCTTTCGGCTTTCGGCCATGGCACCACCAAGAGCATGCATGTCACTATTGTATGACCCCGTCAGTGGAGGAGCGGGTGACGGCCTTGCCAAATGCCCGCGAGATTTGGGACGGTGGAGGAGGAGTTGCGGCGGCTACGGTCCGACGCGGGCCTGTTGGACATCAGCCCAATGACGAAACTGAACATTCAGGGCGAACACGCCGCGGCTTTCATGAGCGAGGGGTGTTCCGACGGGCAGTTGCCTGAGCTTGGCGCGGTGTCTCAAGTGACGATCACCGCCGTTAACCATTCTGTCCAATTAATCGCTTTCGCGCATTGGACCGACGAACGACTTCTTGGTATTGGGCCGCTGCGTGCAGACTCTAAGACCAATATGACGCTAAGCCAACGGGGCCTTGTCTGCGTGCGCTTGAAGGGCTGCTGCCGTAGGATGCGCATCATAATTTGTCGATCTCAACCACCGGTACATTGGCCCGAGAGCCTCCAAATCAACACAGGGGCCTGCGCACGCCCGCGTCCTGACTGGCATAACGGAATTCAACTGCTACTCCGCGCGGGCTTTTTCCCGATGGCTTTGCGCCCAGACCCAGCGCCGAAAAGATTATTCAAGCCCACGCTGGTGCGCGCCGACTTGGGTAACCTGCCTTCCCAGTACCAAGACTGTTCTTCATCCCGTGACTTGGCGAGTTACATGTTGTAGACACATGCCTATAAGCCCGCCATGGTGGAGCTATCCGCCCCTGTAGGATGACGTCGTTTCTCCGCGCTCTCTGCGGTATAACTCTCCGGAGATTGACGTGTTTCAGCGTCAGCTGATCAGAAAGCCACCTGCCTGTGGGACAACGCCCACTTCGGACTCACTACAAGTGGTCATGACATCGGGGGAGGCGTGCACAGGGCTTTCCGACGCTCGCTACTTCGCTGTACACTTGGCCAAACGCGGCATCACGTCGGTTGCCGTGCTGGATAGGATACCTTGGCGGCGGCGCAAGCGCCAGGACCACCGCCATTATCCGCTCCAACTACCTGACGCCCGAGGGTATTCCTTTCTTCGACGAGAGCGTCAAGTTGTATGAGACCTCACAAGGAGTGTGACCGTTCAACCTTCATCTCATCACCAGTATGGGGCGGATTTGACTTGGGACATACCGACTCCGCCGTTTATGGGCTCAGAATGCGCACGGAGTTCAACCGCATCATGGGCGTGGACAGCCGGATGGTCGGTCCGGCGGAGATAAAGAGGCTCGTCCCCGCCCTGGACCTGCGGCAAGGGAAACCCTTTCCGGTGCTGGCGGCCCTGTATCATCCCCCTTGCGGCGTTATCCGCCACGACGCGGTTGTCTGGGGATTCGGCCGCGGCGCAAGCCGGAATGTGAGTGGAAGAACTTCAAAACACAACCTTTCATCACCGAGGTCACCGGCATCGACGTGACCAACGGCCACGTGAGGGGCGTAGAAACAAGCCGAGGTTTCGTTGTGCGCGGTACACGGCATGTATGAGCGCGTACGCGCCGGTTGAGTTCGCACATTGCCCGGAATGGTAGGGATGGAACACTAAATCAGATAAAAGCGTCACCAACGACGACCACTGCAGGCATGATGGTGACCACAGACGACCATTTGACAACAGACACCGAGCCTTACATGCGACCGGACTATCCCGTCGGGTGGCCAACACTCGCCTACGCTAGTATACCAGACCGACCGGGGAGAAGTGGTGATAGGCGGAGGGGTTGATCCCTATCCCACCTACAGCCAGCAATCGGCCCTGTTGCCCATGGAAGAACTCGCCAAGCATACTCTGGAGTTGTTCCCCTGCCTGAAGAACGTCAAGGTGCTGAGGCAGTGGGCGGGGTTGTGCGACATTAGCCCGGACTACGCTCCTATCATGGGTCCGGTCGATGACATTGGCGGGTTCATCGTCAGTTGTGGCTGGGGAAGCTGGGGGTTCAAGGCGGCCCCGGCGGCGGGAAGCCGCATCGCCGAGTTGATAGCCACGGGAGAGACGCGTGACCGTATCAAGCCCTTCGCCCTTTCCAGGTTCAGAGAAGGCCGCTTGGTCAATGAGCGGGCCGCCGCTCCTGCAGCGGCGGTGCACTAGCGGCGCGATGAAACTGGCGCTGATAATTCAACACGCGGCCCCGGAGACGCTGGCAGGGAATTTCACGGCCGTGTTGGAGTCCCACGGGTTCTCCCTGGGACTTGTTAACATCTTCGAGGGCGCTCCCTCCTACGATCAATTTTCCGCACCTGACCTTCACGACGTTTCCCTGGTACTGGTGTTGGGCGGCCCAATGTCGGCCAACGACGACTACCCGGCTCTGCACCAAGAGCGGGCATACCTGCGGGCGGCCATTGCGGAGCAGAGGCCTGTGTTCGGCATTTGCTTGGGAGCGCAGATGATGGCCACCGCCTTGGGCGGCGCAGTGGAGCCTACGGGCGGATTCCAGTTCGGACTCCGGAAAATTTCAGTCACCGCCGAAGGTCATGCCGACCGCGTCTTCAGCAAGTTGACCGTCCCACTGGTCCCGACACTGCACGGCGACTGCTTCACCATCCCACCGGGCGCTGCAAAGCTGGCCGAAGGGTATATGCTGCTGAGGGATGGCTGCTACCGTCGCATCGACATGGCCTTCCGCTACGGCAACTCCTACGCCTTCCAGTTCGAACCCCAACTGACACTGGAAGAGTTCAAGGTGTGGGACCGGGAGCTACGCGGGGACTACGAACTGATGGGAGACAACTTCGACGCTGCGGAGGAAGCTGAGAGAAATTTTAGCGAGTTCTCCCGCTTCGCTCCTACTCACGAAGCGCAAATGCGGGATATGTTGAACGCCTTCTTGAGCAACGCCGGACTCGTATAACATCCCGGCTCTCCCGGCCGTATGGACCTTTAAGGCGTCCACGACCTGCCCTTGGCCCGGACTAAGTCCATATTCAGCTCCGCTCCGCTATCTCCTCTCTCTGGAAACCAGAAGCGACCGTTTTCGATCCGTTCCAGTGGCGATAGAACTTCCGCCCGCCACGTGGCTTCGTAGACGGCATGCTCCAAGGGCATCGAGCCGGCCACGGCTGCCGTAACGCTGGCGCTGGCAAGCTGGGACACCGGTCCCGACGGGCAATGAAGGGACGCGCTGCCACCTGCTTGTATCACCGCGCGGCTTGCACGGCACGCCTCGGCAACGCCACCACAATACTTGATGTCGGGCATGAGAATCCGCAACGTGCCACTCTCAAGCAAGTCTGTGAAGAACTCTTCCCCATAGCCGTCCTCGCCTCCGGCCATCGGCTGGGATATTCTTGTGGCCACACGAACCAGTTCTGGAAGGCCGGTAGCCGGCGGGATAGGCTCCTCGAACCAAGCTATGCTGGACTCTGCAAGTTTGTCGGCGATTAACACCGAGCTCTCTTCATCGAAACAGCTATGGCAGTCCACAAAAATATCCACGCCGGGCCCTATTGCAGCCCTGACCGCCTCCACCCTGGCGACACCTATAGCAGCGGCCTCCAGTATTGCACCCGTAGCTTGGCCGTGGGCTATGTCGTCGAACGGCGCGCACTTGATGATGCTGAAGCCTTCTTTTGCGGCGCGCTCCGCCGCTGCGGCAAAATCGGCCGGAGTTCGGCGCGCGCCCAACAGGGACCGGTTTATGTTGGCGTAAAGGGGCACACTGTCCCTCGGCTCGCCGCCAAGAAACTTGGTAAGGCCTTGGCGATTGTGGTGGGCCTGCAACCCGACGATAGAGGTACGCAGAGAACTAACGGCTACCGCCAGAGAGTGGTCATTTTGCAACCTGGCCGGGGCAATGCCCAGCAGGCCCGCAATCTCCGACTCATCGTCAATGCTGTGCTCTCGCAGCTTGGACACCATCTGCGCCAAGTGGTCCACGACTTGTTTAGTGACGCCGCCGGCGGTGACTTCAACAAGGTACGCGACCTGCCCGTCGGACACTTCTGCGAAGGTCCAGTCAGTGCGTTCCGTAACTGAAACGGTATGAAACTTGAGGCTTTTCAGCCGGATGGGGTGCGTCACTGCCGACCTCCCGCAGTAAGAAAGATGGTAGTCATACGACAGGTCTGATCATCCTGATAATAAACAGCCGGTATTGCGGCCAATCGTCGCAATACCGGCTTGATGGCTGTATATCCGTGGAGCGGGTTATACGGCGGCTTTCTGAGGGGCTAGAACTTTGTCCCAAGGACCGGAGATCTGGCCGGTGGGAGTGTCGCCATGGAGGAACAGGTCTTCCTGCCGGTGCCACTGCTGCCTGGGCAACTCGTAGTACACCTCGATCCCATTACCGTCGGGATCACTGAAATAGATGCCCATCGATATCCCGTGGTCCCTTGGGGTCACTTCCACACCTTTCTCTTGGATTCGGACGTAGAACTCTTTCAAGTCCTCGAGGTTCTCCATTCTCCAAGCCATGTGGTTCAGTCCCACCTGCCCCTTCATTGGCAAGGCGGCGTTTTCTCCCACTTCCATCAGTGCGATCTCGTGGGACTCATCAAGGTTGGCTGCCATGAAAGCTGCCCGGCCCGGCACAAAGTCATAGGTGTGCAGGCCCAGAATATCCTCGTACCATTTGTGGGAAATCTCGGCATTCCGAACATAAATGTTTACGTGTCCCAGATGATTAGGTCTGTAGCTCATTGTCATTCTCCCAACAATTATCGGTGTTGATGGATGATCTTAGTATACCATTTCGTTGAAAGACATCCGCTCCGCTGTCAACCCAGGGTCTTTTAGTTGTCAGTCCGAGGCGTTACAAATGTCCGCCGTTGCACACAGAGCCACATTATCCCGTAGGGGCAACGCTTGTGGTTGCCCCGGGCTCTCAATCCAGTCCCTACCTCCACTGACACTTCCTCCTTGCCAGCTCGGAAAACACCTCTCTACTATATTACTTGTCCCCTCAACGTCTCAGGGCAGGTGCAAGGTCTTTTCCCATAGCGAGACCCCATACCCAACTAGCGAGATCACATACCCAACCCGTCAATCCCCCACTCAACCGTCATTCCCGCGGAGGCGGGAATCCATATCTGGAGAGGTAAAGGACGTTACCGTCAGCGAATGACTCTTGAGTCCCGCTTTCGCGGGAATGACGCCTGCTCTCGTGAAGACGGGGGGTGAACTGTTGGATTAGCTCACGCGACTTTGCACTTGTCCTGCTTAACATTCCATGCGACGTGCACAAATCCAATAAAGCCACTGAGGCAACATGATAATTTATGACTGAAAAGCGCTCTGGGAACAGGAACTCGGGCTCAACCCGGCACCTCCAAGCCCCTTTCGGCTCCTTCGCCACGCACGAATGTCCTGAAATGTCCGCAAATGTCCGCGATTCTGAAATTCCCAGGCCGAACCGTCGTTCCCGCTCCCTATCGTTCCCGCTCCCTGTCGTCATTCCCGTCCCCTATCGTCATTCCCGCGAAGGCGGGAATCCACCGTACCGTCGCCGCCGGACAGACCACCTGAAAGGGAACTCTGCCCTCTGCCGGTCACGGTAAACTCCCCGCCTCTAGCCGATGGCTCCTGCTGCTCCGGCAAATAGACCATCTGAGGAGTCTGCATCATGAGAAGTGAAATAAATGCCCTCTGGACTCGCGTCCGCGCCCTTCAACGGAAAATTGGCCCGCTAACTCGCCGCCTACCGGCTGGACCTCCTGAGCCGGGACCTCTATATACCCAGGCGAGGGAACGACTTTGCACATGCCCTGCCTGCAAACCCTTGACACTTGAAGCCAACCGGCATAGATTGCCATTAACGGGCGGCGGAGCCGCCTGACCGCACTAATCATGATTTCAGCCATCCTACCAAGTAAGGATTGACACATGACTACTACAAGCGAAAGACAGGAAGCAGGTCCTGAGGAGTATCGGGTCATTGGAACCAGACCCATCCGCCACGATGGCCTGGAAAAGGTAACGGGCGCGGCCAAATACGGCGCGGATACCCAACTATCCGGCATGGTGCACGGTAAAGTCCTGCGCAGCCCCTACGCCCACGCCCGCATCCGCTCCATAGACACCAGCAAGGCGGAGGCTTTGCCGGGCGTGGTCGCTGTGGCAACCGCCAAGGACTTCCCGATTATCGAAGACCAAGTCATTGACTTCGCAGAGGCCCAAGGGTCTGCCCGTCTCATGGCGGAGCACGTCATGCCGACGACAAGGCCCTGTTTAAGGGCCATGCGGTTGCGGCGGTCGCCGCGACCAGTCCCCACATTGCCGAGCAGGCGCTGGACCTGATTGAAGTGGATTACGAGGTCCTGCCAACGGTGCTGACGCTCCATGACGCGCTCAAAGAGGACGCGCCCATCCTGCACGACGACCTGACCACCATGTTCCGGGTGGAGCGGTTCGGCCGGGGCCAGGACACCGGCGTGAAGGGAAACGTAGCAGGCCACATCCAGCACAGGCTGGGAGACGTTGAGAAAGGATTTGCCGAGGCCGACGTGATTGTGGAGCGGGAGTTCGAGACGCAAACCGTCCACCAAGGCTACATTGAACCCCACGCCTCCACGGCGGTATGGGCCCCCAACGACCGGATTACTATCTGGACTTGCACTCAAGGCGCTTTCGCCATCCGCGCTTCAACCGCCGCCATCATGGGTCTTCCGGAGTCGTCGGTGAGAGTAATACCCACGGAGATCGGTGGCGGATTCGGCGCCAAGATCACCACCTATTTGGAACCGGTAGCCGCCGTGTTGTCCAAGAAGTCCGCGCGCCCGGTTAAGATGGTTATGAACCGCAAGGAGGTATTCGAAGGCACCGGCCCCACCTCCGCCTCCCACATGCGCTGCAAGATAGGCGCAACCAAGGCTGGGAAAATAACCGCCGCTCAGTTGTACCTTGCTTACGAGGCTGGCGCATTCCCCGGCTCCCCCGTGGGTGGGGGGACGATGTGCGCCACCGGACCTTACAACATCGAGAACCTGCTGGTGGACGGCTACGACATCGTTTGCAACAAGCAGAAGGTGCAAGCTTACCGGGCGCCCGGCCAGCCGCAAGGTTGCTTCTCGGTGGAGTCGGTGATTGACGAGCTTGCCGAGAAACTGGGTATCGACCCGATGGAGTTCCGGTTGATTAACGCCAGCAAAGAGGGCGATCGGATGCCCACCGGTGTCCCCCACGCTGTTCTGGGCACCCGGGAAATGGAAGAAGAGATGAAGACCTATCCCCAGTACCACGAACCGCTGACCGGCCCTAACCAAGGGCGGGGAGTGGCGGTGGGGTTCCGCTGGCAGGGAGGCCAAGCCTCTTCAGCAACCATCAACGTTAACAGCAACGGGACCATCAACTTGATAACCGGCTCGGTGGACATCGGCGGCACTCGCACTGCGGTCGCTATGCAGGCCGCTGAGGTTCTGGGACTGAGGTCCGAGGACGTGTCGCCCACCGTGGTCGACACCGACGCCATTGGCTACACCGCCACCACCGGCGGCAGCCGAACGGCCTTCGACACTGGCTTGGCCGCTATGAACGCCGCCGAGGAAGTCAAGCGGCAAATGGCTGCCCGGGCGGCGTTGATCTGGGAAGTGCAGGAAGAGGACGTAGAGTTCCACGATGGCACGTTCATTTGCACTAGGAACACAGAGGACCGTTTCACCTTCAAGGAGTTGGCGGAGCGGCTTATGCGCACCGGCGGCCCCATCACCTGTTCGGCGGCGTCCAACACCGGCGGCGTTGGCCCTATCATCGCCGGCAATATTATCGACGTGGAGGTTGATCCGGAAACGGGCAAGGTCGACGTGCTCCGGTGCACTGCCTTCATGGACGCCGGGAAAGCAGTACATCCCAGCTACGTTGAAGGGCAAATGCAGGGCGGCACGGTGCAGGGCATTGGATGGGCCCTGAACGAGGAGTACTTCTACGCCGCCGACGGCACCATGAACAATTCCAGCTTCCTGGACTACCGGATGCCCACGAGCCTGGACTTGCCCATGATCGAGACCGTCATAACCGAAGTGCCCAACCCCCGCCATCCTTATGGACTGCGGGGCGTTGGTGAAGCGCCGATAATTCCTCCATTGGCCGCGTTGGCCAACGCTATCTATGACGCCGTAGGCGTCCGCATGACCAAGCTCCCCATGACGCCGGGCGCCATCCTGGAGGCCTTGGAGGCCAAGAAGAACGAGGGCTAAGCCTCTCTCCGGAAGCCATACCCCCGTCAAAATGAAACCGCCCATCCTGAGAAGATGGGCGGTTTTCTCGTACCGGTTGAAACTCTCGCCGGAGGATGAGGCGCCCGTTACGCGGAGGTGGCCCATCCGCTGCCGGAAACGTCAATGACGACTCCGTCCGGCCCGGCAAACTTGACCTCGGCATTGGCGTAGTTGGCTTGTCCCCCGAACAGACCGCCGGTGCCGGGGTCTGCCACCTTGGTCAGCCTCTTGCCGCCGGCCTTTTCCATCTTTTCGACCTGCTCCGGGAGGTTCTCGACGTAGAAGCCGAAGTGATGGATGCCGTTGAAGTTCGGCCCGTGGGCGCCCACATCCGCGTCATCGTCGGTCTTGTACTTCAAGATAGCCATGTTGAACTCCCCGTCGCTGAGGAACACGTTGCCTTCTCATCCGCTCGGATTATCTCCAGGTCCAGGGCCTCTTGGTAAAACTTAGCCGAAGCCGCGGGGTCGCTGGTGGTAAGGGCTATGTGCTTGATCTTCGCCATGGTATCTCCTCCATTCGTTCTGATTTTGGTGTCGCTGGTTACCGGTACATGGGCTTGAAGAAGCTGTGGAGATAGTTCCTCTGGTGAGCCCACGAATGGGCCCGCTTTATGACAGCCATTGGTATTGGTTCGGTCCGTTTATGAGTAATACGCATAGTCTCGTACTTGCTGAGCTCGGGAGGTGCCTCGGCGGTGAAGATCACCTCGCACTCCTGTGCCTCCAAGTAAAGCTTCAGGTTGGAGTAACCCTTAGGGCGGGTGTTGGGAGTCTGGTAAATGTAAAGCTCGATACTGCCAAACAACTCCTCCACATGGTCTATGCCGGTGCCCCGGCCGCCGCCTTCCCGCAACTGGCGCCTATGGATTCCGTGATTCCTCAAGCTCATGCTACACCCTCGTAACCGCCGTTCCTGTCCTGATACAAATCGCTGAGGATCCCGTCAAGGGTACATCGCCCAGCCGACCCGGTCGGTTTTCGCACGGAAGAAATGCCCCTCGGTAGAGGTGACGTACAGGGTAGTCCGGTCGGGGCCGCCAAAGCAACAGTTGGTGGGCATTCGCGCCGGCACTCGATGGGTCTCGAGGACCCTGCCTGTGGGAGAGAAGACGTAAATCATCGGCCCCGGACCACCGTCGGGCCAGCCCGCAGTGGCAATGATGTTGCCGTCCACGTCGAAGCACATGCCGTCGATGCCGCGGTGGACGGCATCCCGGTCTTTGCCAAAGGTGTGCAAGGTATTGTAAGGACCCAGGCTTCCGTCATCGTTGATGGGGTAGGCCCGCAGTTCCCGGTCCAAGCCTATGTCGGCGCTGTTGCTCTCCGCCACGTACAACGTGGAGTCATCTTGGGACACCAGGACGCCGTTGGGCATAGTGGTGTCGAATGTGATCCGCGCCACGGTGTAGCTGCCGTCGGGTTGGGGTCTGCCCGGAGCACCGACCGGTTGTCCAGCTCTTCAACCTCGGCAGGGTCTATGTTGCCTACATTCCACGGATTGGTGAACCAGATGCGGCCTTGGTGGTCAATCGCCAAGTCATTTGGGGTATTGAGCTTCCGGCCGTCAACCCGGTCGGCGACGGTGGTAGTCGACCCGTCGGGCTCAAACCGCACGATGGAGCGGCCTCCGGAGCAGCAGCCGTACAGCCGGCCTTGGGTGTCGTGGGCCAGACCGTTGGTACGGTTCGTGCCTCGCCGCCATTCAGAGATGCCCTCATTGACGAGGTCGTAGCGCACGATGCGGCTTGTGGGTATGTGGGTGAAGTAGACCGCCTCCCCATCCCATATCGGGCCTTCGGTTACGCCACCGTAAGGCCGTTCTATCAATTCGAAACGCCATTCCATAGCATAGCTCCTTGGGCATGGGTAGGGGTCCACCGGGGACTGTAGACGTGAGCCGATTTTAGCAGAAGTCGCCAACAAGGAACAAATCGACGACCAAGACCGATTTGCCTAGCGTCTGGAGGAATGCCAGCCCATCATGAGGGTGATACAATGCCGCGTGAAGTGGCGCTATGGCCTGTGCCATGCTCAGGAGTCCACCCTTTACCAGCATGTACCTAAGCCAGTCTGACCAGTTACAAACGGAGTGTGCATAATGGAGAAAATCAGAAACAACCACGTCGACATCGCCCCGTCGGGCCCGACTTTCAGCAGAAGCATTCGCGTTGGCAATCTGCTGTTCATCGCCGGTTGCACAGCCCGCGGCACCAATGCCCAAGGGGAGCCTTTGATGGACCAGTTGCGGGTCACACTTGATAGGATAGTCCGCATCGTTGCCGCAGAAGGCGGATCACCTGGAGACATTGTCAAGATAACTACTTTCGTAACCAGCGTCCCGGATTGGGTGGCGCACAACGACGAAAGCCAAGCCATGTTTACGGAGTTCTTTCAGGGTGAGTACCCCACCAACACCTTGGTGGAAATCGGCGCGTTGGTGGAGCCGGGACTCGATGTAGAGATCGAGGCCATTGCCGAGTTGGGGTAACCTGGCCATTCCTGGAAGAAGACGTGGATGGGTTGGGAGCGGCGAAGCCGGAATACGATAGTGAGAGGCGGGCGTATGGCTACTTTGATCAAGGGTTCGAAGTTAATCGACGGCAAGAGCGGGGTGATTGACAACGCTGCGGCGCTGTTTGATGGCGACCGGATTGTAGCCGTCGGCCGCCAAGCGGATATGGCCATCGGGCCGGACGTAACCGTCATCGACGCCGGAGACAAGACCATCATGCCCGGCCTCATAGACGCCCACGTCCACATGAGCCATAACGGCGGGCCTCTGGCGGCGAGGGAGTCGCTTCATGCAACGGACCACGAGATGATGATCCAGTGCGTGAAGAACGCGCAACTCGCAATTCGAGCCGGGCTGACCACTGTACGCGATCTGGGCGGGAAGGATTTCATCACTGTGGCGGTGCGGGACGCAATCGCCCGTGGCGTGATCCCGGGGCCACGAGTAGTGTCGTGTGCCCATGCCATCACCACGACCGGCGGGCATTACCACGCCCACTCCGCCGAGGTGGATAACGCCGACGAGATCAGGAAGGCTGTCCGCCTTATCGTTAAGGGCGGAGCGGACTGCATCAAGGTATTCGGCTCGGGCGGCACCACCACGCCGGGGAGCAACCCATTGGCGGCCCAGTACAACGTCGGAGAGTTTCGCACCGCAGCCGACGAGGCCCACCGCATGGGTAAACACGTAACCGCCCACGTCCACCCTACGGTGGCTATACGGGCAGCCATAGAAGGTGGGTTGGACTGCTTGGAGCACTGCAACTGGCTCAGCTCCAGTGGTATCAGCTTGGACCAAGCGGTTTTAGAGGAGATTATCAAAAGGGACGTGTACGTAAGCTTGGGTATGCCCGCTACTTGGTACCGGGTCCCCGTAGACCAAATCAAGGACATCATGGTCCCCGACCGACAAGCCCAGTTGCAACCCCGATACCAGACCATCCGGCAGATGTACGACGCGGGCGCGAAAGTGGTGGCCAGCAGCGATGCAGGGACCACGTTCACCCGCATCGACGAGTTGGGACTACTTCTGGAGTTCCTGGTGAATGGGCTGGAGATTCCGGCGATGCAGGTGATTACGTCGGCGACCGGCATGGCCGCCGAGGCGGTTGGCTTGGGAACGCGAACCGGCACTTTGGAAGCGGGCAAGAAAGCCGATCTCATCACCGTCGACGGAGACCCGTTGGAAGACATAACCGCCCTGCAACGGGTCGACCTGGTCATCAAGGACGGGGCGATAGCTGCACAAGCCGGGCAGGCCGTACTGTAGCGGGTCCTGCCGAATTTGTACGCCTGCCTAGCGGGTTTAGCCGGACATATTGACTATGGCTTCCACTTCCACCAAGAACTCCGGGCGCACCAACGCCACAACCATCACGGTGGAACTGGCGGGAGGACTTGACGGGAATGTCTCGGCCCTCACTTTGCTGTAGGCCGGATAGTCGGCCACGTCGGTCAGGAAACAGGTGATTTTCACCACGTCGGCCATGGTGGCCCCGGCTGCCTCAACAATCGCCCGTATGTTGGCCATGACTTGTCGGGACTGGGCCTCGCAGTCTCCTTCGCCCACCAAGTTGCCGTTCTGGTCTTGGCCAACGTTGCCGGAGACAAACAAAAAGTCACCAACTTGAATGCCGGGGGAAAGCGCCGGGTTGGGAGCGACACCGGGGGGCACTATGGGTTTCCGTTCTGCCATGGTTTTCTCCTTGCGAACGCAGATTCATAATTTCCGGGTGGGGAAGGCAAGCCCGCTTCCTGGCTCGCCCTCAGGCGCAAAAACGTGCCGGGTGTCAGGGGAGTTAATAAACGCTCGCCCAATGGGCGTCACTCGCTAGTTTGGCGTAAGGAGTGGGATCGTGGAGCGGTCCCGGGTTACGTCGATGATACTCCTGACACCCTCGAGTTTGGCGAAAAGTCTGCCAAGCTGTTCCAGGTTCTTGGTGTAAATGGTAAGTTCCATGGTCACGGTGCCGTCCGGGTGCTCTTTGGTGACCACCGAAGCGATGTTTACGTCCTCAGCCGATACCGCAGAAGTAACGTCTCTTAGAAGCCCCACCCGGTCGTAGGCCGTTACACGGATTCTCACAGGGTAAAGTTCGTAGGTTGTTCCCCAGTCCACGTGAACTATCCGCTCCGGTTCGTCCTCGTTCGCCAAATTCGAGCATCCCTGCTTGTGGACCGTAACACCCCGGGCCCTGGTCACAAAGCCGGTAATCGAGTCGCCGGGTATGGGATTGCAACAAGGCGCCATCCGAGTCAAAAGATCCCCTACACCCAATACGGAGATGCCGGACCCCGGGCTGGACAGGGCCAGCTTGGGTTTGCCTCCTACTATGGGCGATAATGGTTCCTGGCGGGCTTGCGCAAGCCGGTATCCAACCTGGGTTTCAGTGATACCACCGGAGCCCAAGTTAGCCAGGAGCTCTTCCATATTGTCGTAGTTGCACAATGACAGGACTTCCGCGTCGTCCAATCGTTGATTAAGCCGCCGGAGTTCGCGACGCAGCAACTCGCGGCCTCGCTGGATATTGGCGCTGCGGGCTTGGCGACGGAACCACAATCGCACCTTTTGCCTGGCGCTGGCAGAACCTACATACCCGCGGTTGGGGTTAAGCCAGTCCAAGCTGGGACCCCGGTCTAACTTGGAGGCCAATACCTCTACGGTGTCACCGTTTTGCAGCTTGGTATCCAGGGACACCAGCCGACCGTTGACCTTGGCCCCAATGCAACGATGGCCCAAATCGGTGTGAATCTTGTAGCCGAAGTCTATAGGAGTCGACCCGGCGGTCAACTCCACAATGGCCCCTTTGGGAGTGTAAACGAACACTTGGTCCTGGAATATGTCCTGCTTGACAGATTCGATAAACTCGTCGGTCGCGGCCATCTCCCGTTGCCAATCGAGCACTTGGCGCAACCAGGTCATTTTTTCTTCAAATCGCAGGTCGTTGGCACGGCCTTCCTTGTAGCGCCAGTGGGCGGCGACTCCATATTCAGCGATTTCGTGCAGTTCGTAGGTCTTTATCTGCACCTCAAGCGGGCTGCCTCCGTCGCATATCACGGTAGTGTGCAGCGCTTGATACATATTTTCCTTGGGGTTGGCAATGTAATCGTCGAACTGCCCCGGAATGGGATGCCACAGCTGATGAATTACCCCCAAGGTCTTGTAACAGTCATCCTTGGAATCTACCAACACTCGCAACGCGTACAGGTCGTATATGTCGCTGAGTTCCTTGCCTTGGGCGGCGTACCGCTCCATCTTCCGGTAGGTGCTGTAGATCGACTTGGGCCTTCCGACAACCTCTCCGGTCAAGTTGGAAACCTTCATTGCCTCCCGGAGACGGGAAGCCACCTGTCCTACGTAGGTCTCCCGCTCTTCACGCTTGGCCGCCAACATGTTGGAGATCTCGTGGTAACGGTCTTCGTCCAGATAAAAGAACGCCAAGTCATCCAGCCGCCACTTGATCTCCCAAATGCCCAACCGGTGGGCCAAGGGGGAGTAGATGTCCAGCGTTTCCTGGGCGATGCGGCGACGTTTCTCCGGCGGAAGGACGTCCAGAGTCCTCATGTTATGGAGGCGGTCGGCCAGTTTGATTAACACCACGCGGATGTCTTCGGCCATTGCCACCAGCATCTTCCGTAAGCTTTCAGCGTAGAGATGGTCCTGCTCTTCGAAAAGGCTCTGACCGCTGCCGGATTGTTGGAGACGCACATCCAGCTTGGTCAACTTGGTCACGCCGTCGACCAGCTTGGCTACTTCTGTTCCGAAGCGGGAAGCCAACTCATCAAGGGCCACGTCACAATCTTCCACCACGTCGTGGAGCAACGCGGCCACAATGGTATTAACGTCCAAACGGAGGTCGACAAGGAAAAGGGCGGTTTGTAGAGGGTGGGCTATGTAGGGTTCGCCGGACACGCGTTTCTGTCCACGGTGGCATTCGTCGGCGAATTCGTAGGCCTGCTCAACCAGTCCCGCCATATCCGGGGACACATAAGTGGATATCCGGTCGATGAGCGTCTTCGCGTCGGTGGTGGCTGTCGTCATCTCGGTCACGCCGTATATCGTGATGATCTTGTCGGGAGCCCCAAAGTCCAAGTGAGCCACATTGTAGGCCAGCGCATTCTACCCCTTCCGTTGGTTAATTACTACTTGAATACGGCGCCGTTAAGCGCATTTTCGACACACCGCCCGGCAGGAGGTTCGTCTGTTTGTCTTGGGTATGTGGGCGTAGAAGCAACGCCCGTCCGAAAGGATAAGGATTGGGTAAGATAGACATCCTTAGGAGGGTCCAAGCCAATTGACGCGTGGCCTACCCGTCACCAACATGATCGGCTAATGTGCTGCGCCAAGCTATGAACATAAATCGATTAGAGTGTGAAACTGGTCGGGGCGGGCAGATTCGAACTGCCGACCTCCTGGTCCCAAACCAGGCACCCTGCCACTGGGCCACGCCCCGGAGCAATTGCGATGCCGGACCTTTACCGGCATTGTGCAACGACATCAATAGAGCACTATTCGAGTAACGAGACATAAAGGCTTATTCCCACCTTATTGTCATCGCCTCGCAAAAAGCACTCTCTTATCTTACTGTAGATGGCTGAGTTTCACCATCACTCCGCTATTCCCATAGTCCGGTTTTGAAACTCCGGTGATGATAACCGCGCTCTGGGGAAACGATTCCGTCGCTGGTTCTACGGCCTATCGTTCCCCATCATTCTTCTCTTCCCTTTTGTTTGCCTATCCGGGGTATGCGCACGGAAGCGACGCAGGCCAGACGCAGATAGCGCGGAGGTTGAATTCCACTGCTCTCTCTCCCGCAATCCCGGAAATCCTGATTCAGACGCGGGGTTTTGTGTGGGCGTACACCCGGCTTGCGCCGGCTTCAAGGGCGGCGGTTGCCTGTTGTAGCGCTTTCCTGGGATCGTGGCGCTTGGGATGAGAGGTGCCAGTAGCCGCAGCGGCTGGATTCATATGCGTACATCGTCTTGCCGTATCTGTTCGTTTGCTTGTGTGCTTCCTGCCTGGCTTCCTGTTCCCTTGAAGTATATGACCTTGGACCTGTTTCTCCCGCTGTCCTGGCACTTCCTGCAACGGGGGAGTCCGCGGTCGTCGTAGTAGAGTGTGGACTGCCGGACTTTGACGAATGACCAGATGAACGCGATGGCAATGATGAGTACAAGGATGGCTATTGCCACTTTTTCCACTCCGATCCCGAGCAGCAATCCGGTTGTGCCGTCGAACTGTGGAGGCATGGCTTACTCCGTCAAGCCCCGGTTTACGGGTTCATCCATCTTAATCAGGATAGGACTTACGCAGTTGAGTTCAGGGAGTACGGTGGTGAACCGGATATTGGCGAGTGGCTGACCGGACGATGCCTACTTTCAGGTTTTTCAAGTTGCCGCGCGAGGTATCAAAGACAACTTCAAGGGGCGGGAATACTCACGCCTGGGCTGCATCCAGCGTCTCCCGGAAGCGATCGTTCTTGTTCTTCTCGCTCCATTGGCGGGTCACTGGGTCCATGCTCCGGGCATAGGGCTTGTCCAGGGTGAAGCCGTCCAGGACCAGGACGCCGGCCTTAAGCTGTACCAACCCGTCAGCGGTTTGATACCCCCTTCCCGCTTACACATCCCTATGCCCGATAACAGCCGGACACATGAAAAAAACTTAGAAGAGGAGGTCCTACGATAAGGCGGTGGTACCCCCGGAGAGGATCGAACTCTCGTCTCTGGCTCCGGAGGCCAGCACTCTAATCCGCTGAGCTACGGGGGCTCTGGTAAGATTTAGAATATCATGGCATGGACAAACCAACAAGGCGGGACGGGCGCAAGAGTTGGCGCTGATGGACAAGCAAATGCGGCGACGATAGACTACGCCAAACTGGCCAAGAAGTACGCTCAGGGAGTTTCGGTTATGCCCGTTTACACGCCGGACTATTTGCACAAGGTTGCCTACCACATTTATCGTGCCAAAGGCGCATCCCACGAAGAGGCGGAGACCGTCGCGACCCACCAAGTCAAAGCCAACCTGGTAGGCCACGATTCTCACGGCGTAATTCATATCCCCGAATACGTCGAGCGCATCAACAAGGGCCATATCGTCCCGGGGGCGCCCTTCGTGGTGGAGCGAGAGGCCCCGTGCACCGCAGTGGATAACACGGTCTGAATGGGTGTGGCTTAGAGGAGGGTCCCCGCGGGTGATTTTGTTTGTTGTTTTTTTGTTGTTTTTTTTTTTATTTTTCTGTTTTATTGTATTTTTTTTTTTTTTTTGTATGGAGTTTCCCGTTTAGGGGTAAATATTTTAGGCGGGGATTTTGGCTATGGATGTATGTTTTTTTTTTGTTTATAGGTAGTGAATTTTTTAGCTTTTTTGGTTTTTTTTTTTTTTTTTTTTTTTTGGCTTTAGGATTCTTCTTTTTTTTTACGGGTTTTTTTTTTATTTCTGTTCGTAGAGGAATGTTTGTTTATGGGTTGCGTGGTACCGATGCGGGCCATGCGCATGGCCATAGAAAAAGCCAAAGTCCATGGCGTTGCGGCCATGACCATTCATTACCAGAGCCATATCGGCCGCTTGGGAGACTATGCAACCATGGCGCTGGAGGAGGGGATGATCGGGTTGGGTAACCGCCGACTCCGGCGCAGGTCCGAAGATGGTGGCGCCTTTCGGAGGGCGGGCCCGCCGGTTGGGAACCAACCCTATCTGCATCGGCATCCCTAGCGACATGGAAGGCCCGGTGCTGCTGGACATGGCAACATGCGCCGTGGCTCGCGGGCAGATCATCCTGGCCCGCAGCCTGCGCGGGGAACTGGGAGAGGAAAGGACACGGCGCGAGGGAGGATCATCGACAAGGATGGCAACCCCACCACCAACCCGGAAGACTACCGCGCCGGCGGCGCCATTCTTCCGGTGGGCGCAGACCAAGGGCACAAGGGCTACGGCCTGTCCTTTGTATCGTCGAAGCGTATATTTCAGGCTGCTCCCGGGCTGGGCTGTGGACATCGACCCGTGTGGCACAGGCATACAACGACGGTTGGCTTGATATCGCGTATCTACGTGGAGCATTCCGCCCTGGACGAGTTCAAGGAAGAGGTGAAGGCGCTGGCGATGCTCAAGGCTTGAAAGAATGCGCCACGCGTGCCGGCTCTCAGAGGTGTTCTACCCCGGCGAACCGGAATACCGGACGGAACAAGGACGAAGAGTGGAAGGCATTTTCGTTGAAGACGAGACTTGGCAGCAGATCAGCGGGTTGATGGGCAACGCGTTGAGGAGTCGGCGTGGACGTCGCCGTCGGCCTAGCCGTTATTAGCTTCTGCAAAATAGGTATCTCGGCAATCTTCCGCTCGTCCAGGTCATCCCAGTAGATCCCCTGAGGACGCGGCAATTCCCCGGTGCAACGGATTACTTCTTCAGCCGTGCCTACGTAGCTCAGCGGCACGTCGTGCTGGGTCCAAGGCAGGTCCTCTTCCAGCAATTGAATTGGGTGCACGGTGGTGACCACCGGAGTGTCCGGGCCCACGATACCTGCCGCCATCGCCAAGCCGTACTCCAAATCGGCAAACCCTCCGCCCTTGCCTACCCGGGTCCCGCCCCGGTTCACTGCCACCGACCCGGATATTACCAGGTCCACCGGCCGCATCTCCTCAACAAAGACCAACCTGCCGTGGCGGAAAGCCCCGGCAATAGTTGCGGCCTTGGCCGGCGTCGCCTCCAGCACTATGGGGTCCAACTCGACGAAACACTGCTCGCTCCTCAGCCTTGGCACTGCCATGTACACCACTTTCCCCTCTTGCAGCGCCCGCTGGCGCAAAGGTCGCTGAGGACTGTCCGGGTTGCTTTTGACCACTTCGGCAGCCTGCCAGACTGCCAGATCGGACACCCGGTCCGCCGCCTCTTTGGACCCGTGGAACTCGGGGATTCTGTCGTGCACGTTACGAGACCGGGACGCCCCGGCCTGCACCATAGCGGCCCACATGGCTTCCCGTATGTCCTGCTTGCTGCGCATTTCGCGGCCTCCATGACGGCGATGTTTGGGGATGTAATCCGGTTGTCCACGCCACTCCCGAACATGCCTTGAAATCGGGTGTCCGCAGAGTGAGCAGAGATGCCGGAAGGAGACGGGGCAAATTTGGTGGATTTCTGTGTCGTTTTGGGCCTTTCTGTGTCATTCAGCTTTGGAGGCGGGGTTGGATTTTCAGGGGCTTGTGTCATTGCAGGCCGGTCCGACACAGTTTCGGTGCAGATTTTTCCGTGAATTGTGCGTTCTGTGTCATTGATTTCATGGTGCATCCGTCGTGGGCTCTAATTTGATTCCCCGCGCGGCAGGAGCGCTGTGCAGGGTACGAGACTATCTCAAAACCAATCAGTCTCGCTGATTTCCCCACGTCGCTGACCAAGGCGTATAGATTCCCGCCTGCGCGGGAATGACGGATTGGGTGTTGCGACAAGTCTTGAATAGCTTTCAAGGAATGGGGAATGACGGGTTGGTGCTCCATAGGACCGAAGAAGATAGGAAGCATGGTCT